ATTATTTGGTACATTTTGTATACGCATTTGTTAGAGGATCAACGAAAATCACAAAGTGCTGTTTCTGTATGCAAAGAACTCCTCCTTCATTATGAATCTCAGAGTTTAGTATAAACCTCCTCATGACGAAACGAAAATCTCATAAATTGTGCCCTTTGGATAGTGGGGCAAGAATTACTGATCTCCATATAGATACATATTTCTCCCTGGGTGTTTTTAAACATCCCAAATTCAAGCTTGCTTTCTGTTCATTTCTTGTCTATTTATACTAGGATTTAAGTCTTTGCAAATAATGAAAGGAAAACACCATTTTTATTACTTTAATCACCCCCGAAGAAGTGGGGGAAAAAAACCAGCTCTGATGCAGCAAATTCTTTCAGTAGGCTTAACCTCTCTATTGAAGCTGATTCTGAACTATTCTCTCAAGTCTTAGCATCTTTATCTACTTCTGTGAACTCAACATGAGCATTTCTTCCCAGGTTTTTCAAGCAGAAACACAAGGGAAAAGCACTCCTGAGCAGTGTGGACGAAAATTCCACAGTGTCCCACCAGTCTTGACCTTCACCTCCCAACACAGTCACTACTGACTTTCTAATTCTATACCGATGCTTCCAAATGGTAATGTAGCTTTCAAGATTCAGGTGACCATTTTTTTTGCCCTGAGGCTTAGCCAAAAAAAAAATAATAAAGAAAAAAAAAAAAGCTTTACAAAAGCTGCCAAACTCCAAAAGGGAGGTGGGCACATGAAAGAGTCCACTGGAATTTCTTAAGTTTGACTGATGTGGAGGTCTCAATTTTTTTCCCCATCCACATGGATAATATAAGCACACAAGATAAAAAGTGACAGTTCATATTCTTGGCACATTCAACCTGAGGCACTGAGCCACTGAGTTTTTCATACCAACTCTCAAGAACTATGTAGTTATAAGAAAGAATTTTCCACTGACCTCCCTCTCTGCCCTCATCTAATCATTCTGTGAGTCGGTCTGCCATTCAGGAAAAATCTCCACACATGGCTATAAGTACAAGAAAATAACAAGTCCTTGGAGACTATTCTTCAGGCATCCTTTGCTGTGCTGGAAATGGAGGAGGTAAGGAGTTGGATCACGAAACGAACAAGGCAGCAGAGTTCCTTTATCAAGGTATATACGCTAAGTGAGGGTCTTGAAGTAAATGCTTTGCAGCTACAAGGATAGGTAAACATGATACAGCCTACAACCCAATCAGGAGAGTGGAAGACATAGGAGATCAGTTGTATGGAACCTGACGATTACCACGTTATAGGTAAGAAGACTAAGAGAATAGAAGGCATTTGTTTACTCAGTTATCTTGAGATCATAATAGATCCAATCAGAAATGTATGGGTTTTTAAATAGCATCTCTACAATTTGGAAGTAGTGATAAACAGCTTGTTCAGTGGGTGCCAACCTTGGCTGTGGAAATGAGTAAAGCATGCAGCAGCTCAAGATAACAAAGACTTCAAGGTGAGAGTGAGTTCTCCGCATAGAGAACATATGAGGCCGTTGTGACTAAGGCCTTAGGAACCAAAGGGCAGTTTCCCTGTGCCATTGTATAAGAGAATGGATAGTCACTGCGATGTACTCCAACAGGGAGATTCAACAGACGGAGCTGGTCAATGCAACAGTGGCAAATGAAGAGGAAATCTAGAACTGGAGTATATTCTGGTGTACATGTAATGTGGAATGATGCAAGGTTTCTATAATAAGTCAGGACAAATGAACAATGATTGAAGCTATGACATTGAATTTGAGACATTGATGGAAACCCAGTGGGTGGAAAGAATACCACAAGGCAGGGACTGCTGTTATGGGGATGCACAGAAACTTTTGCAAAGGAACTAAAGTGGATAATGACCACTACAGGGCAGATCCAGCCTAGGAGATGGAGAGGTGACCCAGAAGAAATCATGGCATAGGAGCAGGTTTTAGGAGCTTTCCCCCTTTTCTTGTGGTTAGGTAAAGGGCAAAACATTCCCTAAGGTTGTTGCTAGAGTTGAGGTGCTACCTGAAAGCCCTAGAGGCAGTGAATCAAGTGGAAAAAAAAAAAGAACAGCAAAAACACAACAAAAAAACCCTTTGGAGATGTAGGAAATTTTGTCTATAGTAAACTCTAAGTTCCAAAAAATATGAAACTGTTTAGGATCAAAGTTCTTAACCTTGGCTGAATGAATAGCATAACTCAGGGAGGATTCAGAAAAATCATGAATCCCAGCCCAGTTCAATCAGATTCCTTGGGGGCAGGACATTGGAGAGAGTTTTTTTTTTTCTTTTCCTTTTCTTGTTTTTATAAAGAACCTCAGCTGATTGCACACACAGTTCACTAAGACAGAAAGCTGCTCTTGGGTGAGGGACAAAGGACAGGAGTTAACAGTGGGTAGGTCTCGAGAAGCTGAAGAAATTTTGTAGGGGTGGGGTGTGCGATGGTACGTCTGGGTCTTTATGATGATAGAAGCAAGGAGCAGGAGAGAAGTTGGAAGGGAATGCCCACAAGCAGAGGAGTACAAAGTGGCAAATTTCAGCACTAAACCACAGTTTTAAGCTAATCTGTCCCACATTTCCAATTCAAGCTTCGATGTTAGGCAGTATTGATCTGACTGAACTAATTGTCTCTTATAGACCATTTACCTATGGCTAGGATTTTGGTGTATCTGCATTATTAAAAGACCACAATGTGCAAGAAAGCTTCATCCATTATTTGTATTTGTTTCAGGCTAAGTGTTGGATCCCCAGATGCTGAGAATTTATAAATCTTGGCTTGGAAGATGTTGACTCCGATATGAACAGCTCTTGGGTTGATGCACTGAGTAAAGCTGTGCATCAGTTTTCCTCAGAGTTGACCATTTGCACATCTTAATCACTAATTTACCTAATGAAAAGTATTCTACCAAAGAAGACATTTTTGCATAGATTTCTGTGTGTCATTTTGAAACACAGAATGAGAGTTCCTGAGTATGACCTTGTGTGCAAATATAAAACACATGTATGCGTATTAAACATGTTGCATATGATGGGAGTCTGCAGCTTTATGTTCTTTGAAAAGAAGCATTCTTGAAGTTGTTAAAAAGATTTGACTTAGTCAAATCCCATAATTCCCTTACGAATGCAATTTTCTTTAAGAAGAATCTAAGCTTTGAGTGATTTCTATCCTGAAAGCCAGTGCCTTAGAAGTATCACATTGGGAAAAATTCTGAAATAACCTTGAGCTTTACACTAGAGATGTGTGCTCACAGAATTCATTCAATACCAGCAAATCCTACAGGCTTTCCAAAATATATCTGGCTCTGAACCAGGTATTATTTCCTCTCTGGGGATCATGTTGATCACATCCGCTGTGAGCCACAGATGATTGCAGTAGGTTCCTTCCCAATTCCCCCATTTCCAAGGGGGATGCAGGCTACAACTCTGCTTCTTCACTCACAGATTCCCTCTGCATGGGAACATCAGAAGGAACCCTCTTGATATTATATGATTGCATTAGGAAGTGGGCGTCTGAGAGGAGATGAATTCATGGAGATGGAGCCCTCATGAAATGGACAGGACACTGGTAAAAGTGACCCCAGAAGGTTCTCCTCACTTTACCATATGAACTACTGAGAAGTTGGCAGCCTGCAACTCCTTACCGGAGCCCAACAAAGCTGGCATTCTGAGAGCAGTCTTCCAGCCTCCACAGCTGTGAAAAAAATCAATGTGTGTTGTCTAAGTCACCAGGTTAATGGTTCTTTGTCATAACAACCTGCAACATGCCACATTCTAGCACAAAGATTTCTGTCCTGTGCGTTTACCACTGCTATGTAGACTTGATCTTCTGGCCTACCCATCTATGGCTAATTGCCTGACCCTTTAAGGACTACATGAATAGGGGTATTGTATGCCTGTTTCCTTTACTTACTTCTTTGTTACCACCCAAGTTCCTTCAGATAATTTTTCTTGCCTTGATTCTGCTTTGCTGCTGGAGTCAGACTAATATTTCTAACACATTTCCATCATGTATTTTTCCAGTGTAGACTTCCCTAGACTCCATTGACTCAATAACCTCAACTTTAGCCCTTATCTGTGACAGTCAAGGTCCGATCTGATAATACCCTTCCATAGTAGTCTGGCTTACTGCAATGATGAGCCTCCATCAGTTATTTATTATTCATTTCTGTATTTCTTGATGCTGTTTCCACCATCTCGAAATCTGGTGAATGCTTCTTTATTAAGGCAACCCCAAATGCAACTTTAATTTGGGTAAGCTTCCAATGTTAATTCCTTTTCAGCTGTCCTCAAAATAGTAAGATGCCTCCCACTCCCGAACTTCCACAGAACTTTGTGTACAGCTGTGGTGTTGTTCACAGTCAGACTTATCTCTTCATCCTTAGCTTATTTCTTTTATTCCCCCTTCCAGATCATAACTTCCTCATAGGCAGGTACTTACAATATTCCTGAAAGTTTCAACTGGGATGACACGAATGGCGATAATCGCACCAGGAATTAAGCCCATTTATTCTGCAAAGCAGCAGTCTGCTGTCAAATACTCTCTCCCTCACAACCCTCATAAAGAGAATGGAAATGCATATAAATGGAGTAGCACACCAGAGGAACATACAATGTGAGCAATTACGCCAATTCCTTTTATAGGAAAAACACAGCTGAGATAAATGTGGAAGCAGATTATTTACCATCCATGGGTCTCATTGCCAAAATCTTCTAAATTTTTCATTAAAAGAAATCAAGGGAAGGAAACAAAAGTAGCCCTTGGGAAGAATCAGCATAGAGAAAGCAGCTCCTATATCAGCGTGGCTTCACAGAAATGTCGCTTCTTGTGTATACTGCATGCTTTTGTGGTCGAGTACATATACACACAGACTTGGGTGCATGTATGTATGCATACACAATATGACACACAAGTACACACACACATATCTAGGTGTGGGCAACGCCAAAGTTAAGCTTTCAGGAGAAGGAAAGAAGAGAGTGGGGGAAGGTGAAGCCAGGTACCTTTAGGGCATCCTGTGTGTCATCCAGACAGTAGACCCGGATGCTGTACTCCAGGGAGGAGCAACAGAGGGGCCCAAAGATGGCCAGCTTCAGACGCTTCGCTGCTGCCTTGTTGGTGGACTGTCCGACCAGGGCGTAGGTGCTGAGGTTCTCTGTGAGGATGTGGCAGGCTTCTGCATCCAGTTGAATGTAGCAAGGGGTAGTAAAGTTTTCCTCTCCGACTACCACCACATCCTGGAGTGGGGAAGACAGTGAAAGGGAAGGTCCATGACTGAGCATGTGAGGGCAGGGCTGCCACCCAGGACCTTGACACGTGGCAGGTTGTGTAAAACTGGTCCTCAGGCTTGAGCATTAGCTTACATGCTGTTTGTTCCTTTTCAGGAATAGGTACACTTGTTTTTTCCATTCTTCTTTGTGATCTTTCTTCCTAATGTTGCACTTATATTGACACTATCTAGATGTACTTTATTTAGCATTTAGTATTTTTTGATCTTCCAAGATTCTATCTGGGTTCTACATAAAAATCTACAATACATTCATCAATATCCTGTTATAGTTAGTACACGCAAGTATATGTTTCTGAAAATTTTATGCTTCAAACTCTAAATTTCTTATCTAATCCCAAAGTATTATTATACTCTCATTATAATATACATTTTTTCTCTAAAAGTGTATAGTTTGAAAAGAATTAGAGATCTTAAGGATTTATGCAATACTATTCTGCTGTGTTCTTTTAAAATTCACCTGCCAAAAGCACTTTTCAAAGCAATACAATGCTCTTTCCAAATAATCCTGGTTGAGGAATTCTATGGAAGGTAAGATACAGAAAATGCTAAACCTGTAAGATACTCTTTTTCCTGTTACTTAAAATGGAAAGCATTAAGCAATTCAATCTTTTAGACTCTAAATGTTTGGTCAAAAATTTAAAAAAAAAAAGGAGTTGGGAGAGATGACTTTTTCAAACATGGTGATTAATTAAGCCCGGTTTTGGGTTATCCAAATGGCTCTGGTCACAATTAGTAATCTGAGTGTTCAAGCATAGCACCCATGGATCAAGGGTCATCCAGATTTCGCTTGAGGAAACCAGATGTGAAAGCTTGCATATAGCAAACGAGGCACAAGACAATAAGGAAAGGTGAGGACAGGAGTGGAGCACTTCTCATGCTTTTCTAAAGAACCGTCTTCTGCTATGTGACATAGTGAGTAAAGCTACTGGGCAAACATAGTCTTAACATAAAACGTATCCCTGCAGCACCAACCCTGGCTGCAAGTCTGCTGGCAAGAAACGATTCCTCACATGGGTGAGAGCAGAGGACATGTGTAGATGAGAAGCCCCAGTTCATCCCAGAGCTGTCCTGACGTTCTCCTAAACGGAATAGTAAGTGTTCTTCAAATATTACAAGCTGGGTTTTTTATGTGTGTTTTTTCTAAAAATATCTTTCCTTAAATAAATATATCCATAAGTAACCATAAAATATGCAACATAAACTTTGGAAAATTTCACAATTTATAAAATTGCTGAATTATACTTAAATGTACATTTATGTCATAGTTTTGTTAACTATTTGATAATGTTTTCATTAATGATAAAATATAGGTGCTCAGCAAAGGGCCTTTACTCATTGACTTACGTATTTTATTTATTTGGAAAGCAGAGAGAGAGAGAGAGATAGGATTCTGGACAGACTAGAGAACAGAAACCTCTCAACACTGGTTTCTGTCCAAAGGCCTGTATTAGCTAGGGTGGGGCCAGGCAACTTGGGAATTCATTTCCAATCTCCCACTCAGCTGGCAGGAACTCAAACACTTGAACCTTCATCTGCTGCCTCCAAGGGTGCACAGTATCAGCAAGCTGGAATAGGGAACAGAGCCAGGACTGAAAGCCAGGTGTTGTCATATGAGATGCAGGCATTGGAAGTGACACTTTAATTCCCAGGTCAAATCTTTGCCCCAAGAATTCTGACATAAGGAAAGTGATTGCTTTAGACATGGTCTTTTAAAAAGCTACCATGGAAACAGCCACAGGGAGTCAGGATGGTATAGGCTTTCTTTATTCATCTGTCTCTTTGAGGAAAACACCCTTGCTGTTTTCCCAGGTTGCTTAGCAGAGCTGTACACCAGGTACACAAAGTTCCTAACATTTGCTGGCCCAGGGGCATTGCTTTTCTACTTGTACATTAAAAACACCTGTGAGGCTCTTCAGTGTGTGAATCTATGAGAAGAAACTGTGTTGTGCAGAGGAGCTAAATGATCATAACAAGCAAACAACATTTGCATCTGATTATTTTCTCTGTTAAATACATACAGTGGAAAATATGTGGTATAGTTTGTTCCATTTTTGACAAGCATCCAAAGTCCCTTGGTATGCATAGATTTTGGATTTTTTTTTTTTTTACAAGAAAGCATCCATAGGCCTGGTTGGTAAGCTGTCAGGGCATCCACATGCTACATCCAAATGTTTGACACCTGGCTCCTGGGGACCCTGGGAAGTAGCAATGTTGGCTCAATTACTTGTGTTCCTGCAACCATCACAGGTATCATTGAATTCAGTGCCTGGTTCCTGACTTTGCCCTTCCACAAAGTGGGCATTTGGGGAGTCAATCAGTAGATGGGAGTATTCTCTCTGACAACTTCAAATAACTAGTTAAAAAATAAAAAACCTCTCTAATTCTATTGCCACAAACTTTTCATATGCTTTCCTAACCTTTCACACGTATCCCTTCCCAGCATGCAGTGAGTGTATTCCAAAAGTGATGAAAAATTTGCAAGTGTACTTTCCCTGGGAGGTAGCCCAGGTTCATCCATCATTTTTGTTGTGCCTATTACTCAGATAACAAAGCACTCAGAAGCATTTCTGTTTCTGGAGGGTCAGCTAAAATCCCACCCACATATTGTGTTAAGCACAGGCTTCCCTTGACAGCCCCTGCTCATCTGACTGGATGGCTCCCATGCTCCATGCTTCCCCCACCCCCTTATCCCAGCAGAGGCTCACCTCCCACTGTCCCTGTGCCACCTGGTTCTTGAGCTGAATCTTCCAGTCCTCAGTGTCGGGATCTGCACAGTGGTGCATGGTGAGGATGACAGGGCGGGTCAGGAGGGCCCCCGGAGGCCCGCAGCTCACCACTGGGGTCAGAAGGGTCTGTGAGTCTTCTGTGGGTGGCCTGGGTGGGAGGACAGAGAATCGCATCAGACATTTCCATAGGATTTGGGCTCTAGCTCTTCATTACCTTCTGACTGCTTAAACTGCACAAACTGGTCAAGTATTTTTCTCTTGAAACTTCTGTTTCTTGGGTGGGGGAAGCAAGAAAATGCAGCACCATTTAATGGGAAGACATGCTCCTTATATTTGGGACTTTGATGTTCCAAGAATGGAGGTCTTTAGGATAATAGTAAATTTGCCACTGTCCCTTTGATCCCCTTCCTTCAGACACAGGGCTGCCTTTAGTTTCTTCTTCTCAATTCACGTGCCAATACTTTCAGGGTGGAATGAAAAAGAACAGAGTCTTTATGACATTACATAACTAACTTTTTTTATGATACTTGTGTTTAGGACATCCCTTGAAAAATATTTCAAAAAATAATTTCAAAATGAGGACACCCTAGAGCTAAACTTAGTCCGAATGACTTTCAGGGATAACTCCAGCAAGTGTGCACCAGATTCACTCTTTTACATATGAGGAAAAAGAATACAGAATTGTATCAATTTATATGTATATATCAATTTATAATGACATCTCTTTCCTTGTATACTTCATACTCAACAGTCAGGGCAGAAACATTTTTATGTGTACAAATTCTTTATTATTGTTAAAAGTATTCTTAAATTTTTCCCCAAACAAGACTATAACCAAGAGGAAAATGGATAAATAAACTCAACCACTTAACTGATATGAGAAAGTTGAGGGGATTGGCCAAATTCTTACTAAGAAGGGCAGGTTATTAATAACTACAACCAATACCTTCTCAACTACAATATTCAAGCCATCTGCTAAAAGAACATGGATTTTTAAATCATAGAATCAGAGAATTCTAGAACATCTCTCAGAGGTCATTAAACATCGCCTTCCACATAAAGCAAGGCTCTCTCTATAACATGGCTGACATGTGGCTAGTTCTTCAGAGTCGTCCAGAATCATACTGCACTGACCCTATAGGGTCAACTCACCCATCACTGAGACTTAGAATCAGCACACTGTGCCCTCCTGACATTTCCCCCCACATATCCTTGACCTGCTTTCTCTATCACTTGGTTTCACGCATTTGGAGCTTGTTATTATGTTTCAATCTCCTTTATTACAGAACAAACATCTTCAGTTTTTTGAAGCCCAGCTGGAAAGGCATGATATCCAGATGTTTCCTTAAATCTCTGCTTTCCTATTTACATGGATTTTTGCCCGGATCTCAAGGTCCTAATTAAAGATTGAGATATCAGAAAATTAACTCAACACTAAGGTAGATGGAAAAGATGATGGCTTTTTTTTTTTTTATTTTGTGACAGTCATGCCTCCAAAATTGCTGTTTTATAATATTTTTAATCAAGTAATTACTTATACATACTATTTAGCAGGCTTCAGTTAGATAATAATATGGTTAATCATCTCCTTCATAAAACAAGGCATGAAGCCCTAAGAAAGTTAAATAATTTGTTTAAGGTGACCTCCCAGAGTGTGTAGATCATGGGAGGTGCTTGGACTAATCTATACCGTTATGTGGTTATAAAGATAGCTTCTGATTCCATGAGCAGAAATTTATATTTAGTTTTTTAATGCTATCATAATTTCTGGGCAAATTTCAGGCCATGTATTTCTTAACACTATGTGCTTCCTCCAAACATTGGCTGTCCTTCCAGTCTTTTATCCTCCTTGAATCTGATATGCCTGCATTTATGTTCTCATTCTAATCATTGATGACATGACATTGTAACACAAGAATAGGGCCAGTCAGGGACCTATTCAAGGGCATCACTTAAAACCTCTCCCTTGTCTAATGTAGAAACTTTGAGTTATCTAGTTGAACCCATTCTAAATCCATTAAATGTACATTGTCCAGTCCACATCTTTCCATTTCATTCACATGCATATGACCAGGGAATATCAAATTCCTTTATAATGACAATGACCACTTGAAATTGATTTTTTTCTCTAGCTCTTATCTATACTTTATATATTATTTAAGTACATAAGCTAGAAGTTAGTTTATATCCATTGCCTATCTTCATGTAATAATGAATGATAGCTACTGCAGCTATTTAATATGGTTGGAAAATCACTGCCTTTGGATTTCTCATGTTACTGTGTGTTCCTGTCTTTTCAAGGAATTCTTGCATAGCAAATGCCTTGGGAAAGAGAGTGCCTGTCTCTGGCACACATCCTTCATTGTGAGAAAGCCTCCCTAAGTGCAGAGCTTCTTTCCTGGAATTCAACCACCAAGTAGATAGATGTCATCTGACCCTCTTTGCATCACCCTTTCAGAACTGCAGCTCAGGAGACTGGCTGAAAAGTCATGATAGCCTGCACAGTGCTCCTAATGCAGCATCCTTGGTCTCTGGGCTGAGCAACCTGTGCCTTCTCTCAGCATCCACAAAGCAGTGACAGCTAAGTTGGTAACACAAACAAGGTCACATTTCAGAGTTCTCATAGTTAACAGTTACGATCAGTGGCGAGAACAGAATTATCATCTGGCACATTTTTGAGTTAAAAACACTTGGCTTTCACAGCTTCCCCTCTCATTCTAAAGTTGCCCTAGGCTCTCACCAACCTCTGGCATTTCCTTCATCCCATTTAGAAAAATCCAAACAAGTTTTATCTACTTTCAGTCCTTTAATATTATCTCTATTCTCTATGAAAACAGTTTCCTCTATTAAATTTAAAGTTATCTGGGTACTTGGAGATGTGCTTTTATTTGGGATCCTAAAGTTATTGGCATCAGCTTAAGATTGTATTATTATCTCCTTTATCACTGTGGTTTTCATTTCCTCCTTTATCCAGTGTATTCTCCTAGAATATCAGCAAGGTTTTGCTTTCATTGTAATGTAGCTAATATCACTCAATCTGCTGCAGGGAGTAACCTTATTGCTCACTCCACTTTTCCTACCAGAGAGAAAACATCAAGGGTTGAATTGGCCTGAGCACTACTTTTGCTACTTTTCAGTTACAAGTGTGCCTTGAGAAGCACTGAGAAGCCAGTGTGAAACTTTTAAGGAAGGAGACTAAGGTGGAATTCATTTCAAGTGGCCCTTGCAATATAGTTGGGGATTGGAAACATCTGTCTCCCAGTCTGGTATCAGCAGCAGGTGCTTGAGGGGACAGAAAGGGGGCTCATCTCATCACTGCCTTGGAACAGAAGGGAGAAGAGGACCCCCTGCTGGGACGGGGAGTTGTCAGCCCTGTCCTGTCCCAGCACACCCCTGGCACACAATATTGATGGGCACCACTCTTTGTAGGAGGGGTAGCAAGCGAAGGAGGCGCAGGAGGTGTCAAAAGAATTTATTAACCCAGTGAGGTGCAAGGATGTGATTAATAGGGAAGCGGTGATGTGGAATTCATAACAGGGGATCAAAAACAAAGAAGAAACAATGGCAAGAACCTTTTCTATGTTCTCAAGATGAAAGAAGTGGCATGGAAATTGGAAACATATCCAAGTATATATAGAAAGAGTGACTTAGGGAAGGTGGAAGGTTTAACGCTATGAAATCAAAGCTCACAGAATCTAAATCAATAAAGGAGTCCTTCATTGGTATGAAGGGAGGGTATGGAAGTATATAACACAGTTGCAGAAAAACCCATCTGTTCTGTGGTTCTGTAGAGAAGTGCTTGCTCCTCAGTGATTCCTGTGTGTGCCTAACTGTTCACGCAAACTGTAGATATTAATTGCAGGTGATATGGAAATGAACACAAAGCAGAAATTACTAGCTGAAAAGGCAGCAATGAAATGGAACAACGGTGAGAATGTTAAAGGCTTTTCAAGCCAACAAAGATATTATCGTGTAAATGCTGACTGGGTTCTGACTTGCAGGACAAAGCACCCAGAGAAGAGTTTCCATTCCCTGCCTGAGATGTTCTCATCTTTTGCTTGATGTTATCCAGGAGGAGAACTTGCACACCAAAGTGCCTGTTTCACAAAACTTTCCGTGTGGAAATTGCCTTTGCAGCTCAGGGCACACCTGCAACGTGGTTAGAATAAGTGCTTAGATTGCCTCCTTTCCAGACAGGAAACTCCAGGCCACACATATTAACACATCCGCCTGAGGACACAAAACTAGTTTTCAGCAAGGCTACATTGTCACACACAAGTCATTTAATTTCTGTCACATGGGGGTGTATTTTGGGCTATTTATAATGGATCTAGGGCTTCAATAGAGTTTTATTTTCTGCTTGCTAGAGCAGGCACAGAACTGCTAAAAAAGAATCTCCCCACCCTCCTTTTGTGAAGCTGCAATGCCCCTTTCGTCTAGACAAACATCTTTTGGCAGTTTCCTTAGGATGATAATCCCTGACCCTAGCCACAGCTGCTTTTTTAGAGCACATGTTCTTCACCAAAATTTGCTAAAATGTATGCACTCTCCATCCCTCTCAGCACCTATCCAACTCACCTGCTATCAAAAGCTCAACTGAGGAAAAAAAAATGTGGAAGAAGTGCTCAAAGGCAAGCCACCATTTTCTTCGGCCCACATGTATCCCCGGATTCAATCAGAACAACCAAGTGCTACACTCTGGCATGAATGGCTGGATCTTTGTGCAATGAACTCCCTGAATTTATGCAGTCAGCCTTCCACATGCATGGGTTCCTCATTTTCAGATTCCACCTACTGCAGATTGAAAATATTGAGAGGCTTATTGTGTCTGTGCTGGACACACAGGATTATTTTCCTTACTATTATTCTCTAAACAATTCAAATACAATAATATAATATTTCTATTGTATTAGGAATTGTTATCAGTTAAGCTTGTGCATATATAAGCACTGCCATTTTATGTAAGGGACTTCAGCATCTGCAGAGTTTGGTTTCCACAGGCATGCTGGAACCAATTGCACATGGCAACCGAGGGACTGCTCTACTTGGCCTTAGACACACTCCTGCCACGCTAACAGAAGCAGCCCTTGACACCCACTGCCATTTTATTTCAAGGATATTCACAATTTTACCACAACACCTTCTTGA